AGTGATACATGTACCTAGCACTCTTAGTAAAATATCACCAATTAATTATCTCCCAAATTAGAGATGTCACACCCATGCTTTTTTTTTTTTTTTTTTGAGTCAGGGTCTCACTTTGTCACTCTGGGTAGAGTGCAGTGGCATCATAGCTCACAGCATCTTTGCAACCTCACTCTTGGACTCAAATGATTCTCTTGCCTCAGCCTCTGGAGTAGTGCCTGCTACAACGCCTAGCTATTTTTAGAGAGGAGGTCTCCCTCTGGCTCAGGCTGGTCTCCACTAGCCTAATGTGGATGAGGTGTGCACCTGGCACACACCCACGCTCTATAAATTCTCAGGACTTCCCTTTGAGCTCCAGGAACATAATCTCCTCACTGTCTGTAAGGCCATATTTATTCTAGTTTCTGCCATGTTTCTAATTTCACCTCACACCACTCTCCCCTTCCCTTGGCATTTGCTTTTTCTCCAACATACCAAGCCTTTCCCATCTGGCTCTTGTACTTGCTGTTCCTGCCTTCCCTCAGCTGGCTCGCTCTTTCTCATATTTCAACTTGTGTTACCTCAGGCCTCTCCCAGTTATCTCTTATCACCCTGTTTCCTTCAAAGCATGAAAAACAATTAGCCTGTTAACTATTTTGCCTTATTGTCCCTCACACTAGAATCTTAAGCTTCATGAGAAGGGAGATTTTCTCTTGCTACTGTGATCTTCAGCACATGCCCAATAATCACATTATTGTTGATTAAATACTGCTGAGTGAAAAACCCTTTGAGGTAGGAACTTAATTCCCATTTTATAGGTGAGTAAAAATGGGAAAAAATGACATAACTCAAAATCATAAGCTACTGACTAGCAAAGACAAAATCTAAACACAAACTCCTCAAGAGGCTATGTTCTGCACTCAGAAGTGCGAATGGGATAGCTAAATGTCAAACATAGCTAGGATTCCAGGATAAGCCCTAAGGACTAGTCCTGCAGCAGCAATCTGGGGGACAGAAGAACGTGACACACTCAAGAGAAGCCATCAACGACACTACCACCTGCTGATAACCTGCTCTGGTCATATCAGCTACACAGTTAGGTGGAGGGCTAACAGAATGTGCCATTCACTGTCCTTATAATCTGGGAAACTGCTCCAACTGAACCCTGGCATCTGCCTAAATGGAAAGATCATCTGTCTACCTCTCTTCGCCAGAATTTAAAATGTGTAAATAGCTGATAGAATTGAGTGGTCAATAAACTATTATCTTAAAACGTGTGTTAATATTGCTTGTTTCCTTCTTTGAAGACCAGTGTCTTATATGCTACTACATCCCTACTTCTTGACAAATAGAGTTGAATAAATACTGATGAATGGATATAAAAAGCTTTCATCTGAACACTTTGGTTTCTTCAAAGCCCATTAAACACAGATGAAGAACCATAATCATTCATTTTTCCAATATTTCAGTGCCTATTACATGAAGTCATTTTTCAAAGGAGTGGGTAAAAAACACAAAATCCCTCATATCTCCTAGAACTTCTAGTGACAAAATGTGGAAGTTATCAGTATTTAGACAAGAGTTAAAACCAATAGCCAGGATCCTAAACAATGGCATAAAATTCAGATTTGTCAAGATGGCACTGAAATGATGGCACCATGATTTTAAAGACTACCTAGCAAATCTTCATTTGGTAGTTCAGTTTTCTTGGTGATGGCTTTATAAATATCCTGATAATTATATTTGATAGCAAATCAGATACAATGTACTAAAGATTCCTGAAATAAATATATTAAAGGTAAAAATTCAAGAGCATAGATAGTATATGCATACTACTGAAATAAATACAATGTGATTTATTTATAAAGAACAAAGTGACAATGAACAGTATTTCAGAAATTGAAAAGGTGACACTAATAGTACTGAATACACACCTTTTTATTTCTTCAGATTCAGAGTTTGTGATTCAAATATATAAAGATGAAGAATCAGTTTTGCAACCTAAAAATATTTACTTATTAAAACTATTAATACTTTAATAAACTATACAAAAAAGATGAGACAAAAAGTGCGTTTATAGAACTGCATGTCAGTCAGGCCAGTTCCCTGAAGAGAGAATTCCCAGCCTGACCTCATTCATCTGTGAAGACACAGAGCAATCCTTGTTTAGACGCACACATTCATCTACTTGTCCACTGTGGTCAGCCCTTCACTTCTTGATGGTTTCCTTCCGCTATGAATGTGCTTGTCCATTTGTCTGCTTCTTAGAGCAGACATTTACCT